TGATTTTGAGGCACTTCTTCCCAGCAATTCAATTCTAGCTACCTGCAGACGCCCTGAACTTAATCCTCAAAATGTTGGTAAAATCCTTCTTTGCTTGACCTGGCTTCTGTTTAAAACTGCGTTATAATACTTTAACCTGAAATCTAGTTCTTATTTAGGCAATTTAAAAGCAAAACAGTTTGTCATATCAGAATTTCATATTCTCTTCTTTCTATTCATCTACGAGAGCTTCGCGAAGATACTGATGAACAGACCTCAAGAAAAACTGTACGATGTATAGCCAAGGAAGCAAGCACGATTCAAAATTGGGTTTAGTACAATGGATCATTTCCACGAGGTACAAGGGTGTCAGGAAAGCAACGAATATGAGTTTTCTCCTCGCTGTCTGGGGCTCGCGGATTTTGAAAAGGCTTTTGACTAAATCTACATCCGCTTTTTACCGGTTTCCTTGAGGAGACGGGGAATCGAGAAAAGACACATCAACCTGGCCACAAAGCTTTTCAAGGATGCAACTGCTGGTATGAAGCATAACGGCAGCACAAACAAATTCAAAACGGATAAACGCGTGCGACAAGGAGATGCAAGATCAACGGTTATTTACAGCATGCCTAAAAGAAGTTTTAAAGGCACTCAACTGGAAAACTCAATCAAACTGGCTAAATATGAATGGCCACTGCTTAAGCAATCTGTAGTTTGCGGACGGCATTCTGATTCTTTATTAGGTCACCAGCACTCCAAAAGAAGAATTTAAGAGCTCAATGACACCAGCTTTGAAAGTGGGACTGAAAGTGAACCAGAAGACTCAGGCCATGCTCAAGAAATGCGTAGCCACGAGACCTGATGAAGTCAACGGACTTAGGCTTGAAGAAGTACAAAACTACGTCTGTCTGAGAAAAATCATCTCTGCAACGAAGAACCTACTTTGTGAAATCAACAAACAAATTAAGAAGGCATGGAGCACTATTGGATGATTGAAAATATTCTTATGCGAAAAATTGCCATTGTGTTTGAAACGGAAGGTATTCGATCAGTGATGACCTCGATCTGAAAGCTAGTCACAAGCAGCAAACGGTGCAACACAGCACAGAAAACCGTTGAATGATGGGAATAACAAGAACATATAGGAAGATGGATGAATGTATAAGAGCACAAACAAGAATCCTCTGTCACTGCTTGAGCAAAGAAGCTAAAGTTGCAATGGGGAGGAAACATGCAAGAATCACCAGATCAACGGCAGGATGAACTGAAGAATTTCGCTGTATCAACGCGACTGAAAATGACAGAAAGCAAGAGTCCATGGCAATCTTGAAGAGGCCTTCATATAGCACTGGATCGGCAAAGACTAATGATAGTGATTCAGCGTAGTCATATACCTCCGTAACTTTTTCATTTCCTTGATGCTTGAGCGATGCATGAAATTCTCGAAAAATAGTTATACTTTACAAGTGCAATAAGTGACCAAATTCGATGTAATTTTGAAAGCTCAATAACAGAGGAAAGGAAAATATATCGAAACACTATTATTGCTAATGTACTCTGCACTCAGGTAAAATAAATACCTAGTCAAGCACACGATTCTATGAACATTGAAGGCAGCATGGAATGTACGTAAACTACCGTACGGCAGTCTGAAACTTTTTCTATTCAATGTCACTGTCATCTGTAAGGTGTTAGGGAAGTGCACAAAAGATGCTCTAAAACAGTAATATTGTCAAGCAAATTGAGGCAAATGATTTGACTGATTACATCAACCATCTCTTTCCATAAGTTTAGATTAGAATGTCGGGCAAGTTCGCCATCCTCGTCGCCTCTGCGCAGTACGGACCAACAAAATAGCAACAAATTACGCATGAGCTCAGACACCAGTTTACTCGACGGATTTCAAGTTCAATGATGATAAAAAAGACGTACTGCACTGTTTGTAATATAGCTCCAGGGAGTATGCTAACCATGATATAAAACGCCAGCATTTATAAATATGCGAGAAAAAATCCACTGCAACTTTTCGTAACGGAGAATTATGTTCGTGAATAAAAATTCTTATTGTATTATTTTCTAACAGTCAATTAGGATTTACACATTTCGTTTTCAGGAATCGCAAAATATAGATCTCGGCACTAAAATCAGTCATATAAGATATGCTATAAGTTAATCCAGATCGCACTAGCTGTATTAAGACCGTAATTCTGTTGCCCGTATTAGTAAGTAAAAGTAAGCAAATGTCATGACACAAAAACGACGGCTGCAACGAAACAACTTATATTAAAACAGTACCAAAGACGTCAAAATCAATAACTTCCCCGTGACATTGCGAATGCGGTAGTCGTTACATTAACATGCTGGCTGAACTTCAAAAAGCCTCGTCTGATCCCATGCTCAGTCGAGTTGTCAGGTCAAGATCATACCGCCGCATTAAAACCTGCATTGTTATTCTGTGTCATAAACCACGTCGCAAATTTTTGCGTCCCCTACTACAATCTATCTATCTACCCAAGCTTACAATTCACAAATCTCGATGAAAATTGGAAAATATTTGAATACCTATAAGCCAGTCTAATATTTCCGTTGTGTTAATTATGTGACTGCCATTTAATTGGTACAGCAAGGGTTTTGTTTATTTGTTCAAGTTCTGGACTATTTGAAACTGCACTGGGTTCTTTGCAGCGAAAATCAGATTTTTGAGAAATTTATTTAAACGGTAAATAAAAAAATTCAACTTTCAAAACCGTTCTATATTTCAGAGTACAAAGTTCTTTTATGAAACAAAATACGTATGTTACTAAAAAACATTCTTCAGTAAAATCAAGCTGCTCACTTTAACATGTTAACCACTGCAGTCCAGAACAGACTGTCATCAAAACAATAATCTTACGATATTTCCAACAATTCTACATCGAACATAAGAACAGCCGACGGAGGTATCACTCCAGGAATACCTCTGGCACCATAGGCCGATTCTGGTGAAATAGTAAGCATTGCCCGTTCACCAAGACTCATCTAAAAAGCCGTAAAAACCAAACAAAATTCATCTATCTCGAAAACAAGTGCTGATCTATCGCTGCGATCTTCAAAATGCATTACTGAGATCGGTGCAACTGAAACACGTCAAGGACTGACCTCCTTTTATTTTACGCCAAACTGTGACAAAACAGTGTTGGTCGGAATACAGTGTTGAAGTGCTGTTCGGAGATTAACTGTAACGACGATCTGTATTGTCTGGCTAAAATGTCCTACATGCGTGCCAGAACTATTAAATTTTTACAACTTATCCTGAACAGAAAACCGATCTACAAGCTCTGTGATTATAATCATGCTATGCAATTAATCATTGGTGCCAAGACAAATTTTCGTGCCTGATTCTAACATCTTGATAACCTACCTGAGAAATTCCTACATTCCAGCCGGATATGACTTCGTCAGTACCTATTCTAAAGGTGAAAGGTCCACCACGTTCGCGTGATGAATCAAACTTTTTCCCATTTTCTAAGGTACCAGTGTAATGAACTGCAACCGTCTGCCCCTTCTGCGGGTAGGTTTTTCCTAAACAGAAGCCGTTCAGATGTAACAACGTTAACTGACTTTAATCTGAAATCACCAAAACATTGCTTAAAACGGCACTAGAATCAACTATTATTGCATGCTTTCAAAAAGGACAAAATGAATTACAAGTATACTGTGCCAGTTGCACAAACGTCATCACTGTTAAGAGTACAGATTAATATTATGCAGTTTCGTGCCACTTTTTGCAGTTTTTCGCTGTTTTCATGAAGTGATTGGCACTCAGTCCTGCTCTCTGCCTGAGGTCGTATGCTCAGCATCGACTCCGCTCTCCATTAGATTTCGCACTAAGAGCAAAAGCTAGCATGATATTGTTGAAACAATCCAGGTTCTTTCTCATGAAAAGTCCAAGGCATCGTAATTTTTTAATTTGTACATTAATGAAGGATTTCTATTGATCAAACATTGGTGTATGTATCACAAACAGCACACAACGACTATGGGAAAGGATCACATAACAGGGCGAAGTATGATTCAGTTCATTTTTCGTAGCCAAAAATTGTCAAGAACGGCCTGAAATTATTGGCTAACAATGAACAGAGGACAGGCCTTTTCACACAAATCTGCCAAAGACAAAAAGTTCTTATAAAACTGGTATGAAGAATTTGGAGCAACTGTACATATAAATCCCAGAAGGAACGCCGAGATATTTTCTTAATGTCATCTACTATGGGAAAGAACGACGACAATTAACAATACGGATGGATAATCCGGAAGACCATGGATTGATAACATTAAAAAATGGAGAAAACAATATGCATCCTTCATGATGCACGAAGTTTTAAAATCAGGAAAACAGCGAAAGGCTGTCCAGACTCGTATACCATGTAAAAATCTCTCTGAACGGCAGGTAACATTTGCCACGGCCGTATGCCTGAAAAGTGAGTGCTCAGTTCACTTCGTTGCAATATTCAGTTGTTTCTGCTAAGGTCCTTTCATGAAGTTTATCACAGCTGTTAATGAACCGTTCAATGACCATCTGATGGCCCTTCCTTCCTGGGGATCTAATTTCTACATCCATAGCATGAAAACGACCAAACCACAGATTTCGCATGTCTCAGACTTGCGAGGATTGCTAAGCAGAGATACTTTCACATTCCGATCGGGCCTATCATACATTCATCCTACCAAAAAACACTGGCAATTTCAACCCTAGAATGCCTGTTTTCTTCCAGGGAGGAGCCAACGCTAGACACGTGATCTGCTGACTCAACATCACCCATAAGGTTACATTATCGCAATTCATGAAAGAATAAGCTTTCCGGACAGGAACGTCACATTAATTATGTAAAATAAGGTAAGTCGCTTGTCCCTGTCAAAAATTTCCTCGAACGAATTTAGACAGCAAACTAAGCTATCTATCACTTTTTAACTACCACTAAAATAAGAAGAGCTTAGCCAAGATCTTCAGTCAATTAGAAGCAGCAGCATTTTCAAGATATCAAGCTCTAAAACGCGTTTTCAGAACAGATCACGATGCTAAAAACTGCCATTAAAAGTACAGCTTTTTAGCAAAAATACAGAGCCTCAGTCGAGCTGAAAAGAGGGCCGAAGGCAGCAAAGGTCTGTCGTGAACTCTAAGTACAATGGGCTGAACAGGCTTTCGCATGACTGCAATATAAATAAAGCTGATGCCAGCGGAGCGAGCATTAGACTGAGGTAATAAAGTTAGAGATAGGAGGATAGGATCTATCCAACAACTGCACTGCTGCGTTAGGCACATGAAATGGAATCACAGCCAACCGAATAACGGCAGCTTACTCATCACTGCTAGGGAAGCGAATGATACTGTTCAACTGGCTGGAAGAAACGGGCAGTTCGCAAAAACAAGTTAGGGCAGAGATCTGTTTGATGCAGGGATCTCAAAGTAGAGCAACATTGTCATTCGATGTCTCGCCTATTCCAATAAAGGAGTAAGTAAAGGGTCAGAAAGCGAGATAGCACTTAAAACTATGGCACCATGGCACTAAGGTGTCTCAGCTAACAAATAATATTATTTAATCATTTACTGATTCGTTGCAAAGAAACACTAAAATCACTTTGTTTACAGAAAGAAATGAAATGAAAGATCGGCCTCAAAACCTCATCGACCTAAAATTTTCAACAATTAGCGCCATACACAAATCGGCATTACCATACAAAAATCAAAAGACAGTCACATACCATCGCCGCGTTTAATCACCTGTAGCTTGACCGCCATTTAATCAAGAAGTTTCCTAAACCAAGCACTTGAAATCACGAAAATCATACAGATAAACAGTGCATATGCAACAAGAACAGAACATAAGCGAATAGTGTGCATATGCTCTAACGAAATGTGCAGCGCTGTGCAAAGTATCAAAATGTCGAGGCGCCAGCTGCATCAGGTACTACTAGGTACCTTTACAAGGTACACTATAAACATAGAACTATGAACTGGATCGGGAACCGACCTATACAAGTGTGAGCAGGTCAACACTCCAGCGAGTCGGGTACATACATACAAGTACTTCGAAGGATACTTCGTAAAATTCCTGCACTGCGACATTAGAAACGTCCTGCCTCGCTTACGAATGAAAGAATATACAGCTACGTTGCTTTCTGAAGGAAATGTCATTGGAGACGTCATCAATACGAAATTCATGCAAACATATTTTACATACACACTGATGCTTCAAACCAGTGGCTATATTTACATCCCCCTCAGCTGCCCTCTCTACTCACTCAACCATCGGGGAAAAACAATGTATAATTGTCGCAGCATGAAACAAAGTGCGACAAATGCAGCAAACACCACTAGTACTCAATCACAGGCAAACCTTATAACTGCCCGTGGTGGGATCTCGCTAAGGCACAAGCGCCAGATAACAGTATATATGGACAAATTTGCTTGCTCGATTACTGAACAGTATAATGCTACCATCTTCAAAGGTCACAGTTCGAGCGACAATTTTAATGCCGACTATTCGCGACTGATGACAGACGGCTCGAATTATGCCAATTTTGGAAACGAGGTATTATGCAAGAGCCTAATTAGAATATGAAGCACTGCATGAGAGTATGAACAAATCATCTGTAAATGACGTGAATCACTGCTGTTTAAAGACAACCAACCACCTAGACTTGGCTTTGGTGCAACAAGCCGTGAATAACGTTACAAGGTGTGGTCATAGTGATAGTAAGTGAAGTTATACCTTACCTTGATGAGAGTGTCTTTGACGCATGCATTTTACGGTTGCAGTTCGCCTTGACCCCCCTGATAGCTAACTAATAATCAGTACGTGAACAGATATATAAAAAATAAATACATCTTTCAACCAATCTCGCTATCTTAGTCTTCCATGCAATGGACTCTCCGCCGTAGGTTTCATTTCTGTGCTTATTCTCTCGTTTGTAAAGTTTTGGCAAAAAAAGTTGTTAATTTGTTTCTTTTTTATCCTACTTTTCTCGAATAGCAAACCCGTATAACGGAAAAGTCTCCAGCTTTCTAATACGTAATCGAGCATGGTGTACAATTTGCAGTCGATCTCATGAATCTGCATTATCAATGACGTACGCGTGTGCAACAAGAGTAAAACCATTAAATGAACGCAATCTTCTTTCGGGGCGTAACAATATGAAAGGATCGGCCATGCCACACGCCATACAGCACTCACGTCATCGATAATTTCCTGCGTGAAACGTCGTGTGCGACTATTCCGTCGCAATACTACCGCATCGTGACTAAACTACGAATTCTTCGAAAATTGGCCAGTCAGAAATGCATTTTGTAAACTTGCTCAGCAACGGATTCGGCAGAAGTACAAGCAAGATAACATCACCTAAAAAACAGTCACACGAAAATCGCTATGTGTCTGACCTCACCTAATTGCTACCTTTGTCGTTCGCCATCTTAACACGGAAATATCTGCTCATTACTCAGTGCATCGTCTCAAACTAATACGATAATGAAACCACAGATGAGAGATTAAAGATTAACAAATGACATTGCATCTACTAGCGAAACAGTTTTACCAGCACAAGAACGAGCTGTGCATTTCAATTCTCAAGAGACGAACCTGCATTTCTGAAAAACAGTAAGAAAAAGAAAGTCGTATTGATAGAGCCATTTGTTAGAATTGTCATACCCCAATATTTGTGCTGTACCGTCTATGTTAAACTTTCAGCCAATCAGTTTTGATGAAACTCAACCTGTATGATGTGCGTTTTCCAAAAAAGTGTCGGCACTGCTGCGGTTCAGTGTCCGTCAGCAGGTAGTGCTGCAGAGGCCGCCGTCGAAGTGTGCTTGGTGGCGTAAAGCGGGCTTGCTGGACGAAATGAATGGAAGCACACCGTTTCGCACAATCGAATGGATTACTATAAATGTAGTAAGTTCTCAACGTAATGTTGCAGTTTTGTAATATGTGCATGTTAATGTTTCATTCATTCGTAATGTATTTCGTTCACTCGGTTGGCCATCGTTGTTTTTGCGTGCTATCATCACCATTGCAATGATGTCTGTCATCACTTTCCTAAAAAATCACGGCCCTGCGTCACACCAGTGGTCTTCAGCAACGTGCGCTGGATGGTCTAGATTGGACGGAATGGATGGAGTTCTGGTTAGAGTGGTTGATGGATGGAGCTCCTCTCGCACGTTAAAGTGGATTAAAATAGCTGTAGTATGTTTATATCGTGATATGATGATGTTCTGTGAATTCAGTTGGTAGTTCGCTGTTGTTCTTGCATATGTTATGATTACATGTATTGTAATAATTTTTTGCTTCAGTTTTGATATGTATTTAGCAGTAAAATGGCTTGGAAAATTGTTGTTTCCATTTAAATTCTTACATTTGTACACTTAATTCCGGTCGCCGATGAAACTATCCGTCAGACACAGTTTCATGTTCACATATATGCTCTTGTTGTTGCGTTTTTTTCATCGAGCGCAATGCCTTTTGACCTTTAAGTTAAACTTTCCTGAATTATTGTTCACGACGTTTAACGCTTTGGATCGAAGTTGCAGTTCTGTCGGCCAGCTGTACC